TCGTCGGTTAAGGGTACTCCTAATTTGGCCCGTTTTCAATAAATCGCCAATTTGGTCAATAAATTTTCGCCTAGGACGCCCCTTTCCGACTCTGCCATTCATTTTTGCAACATAAATTTTCTTTGTCACTCTTTCCTCATTCATTATTTCCACATGACCAAACCACCGAAGCATTCCTTTCTTAATCCTGGTCACAACATCATTTTGCAAACCACACTCTTCTCTTATTACACAATTTCTTACCCTGTCATTCAGATTCAGCCCTAATATACTCCTTAACGACCGCATTTCTACTGCGTTCATTCTACTCGTGCTTCTGCCACACCCAACTTTCACTACCATACGTTAAAGTAGGGACCAACACAGCATTGTGAATTGCCATACGTGCCTTTTTCGACACATTTTGACTCTTCACAATAGAGTGTAGAGCCCCATTTATTCTATTTCCTGCATTCACTCGTCGTTATATATCCTTATCACATCTCCCATCCCTGCTATATACGCAACCCAGATATACAAACTCATCTACTTGCTCGATCAACTCCCCTTCTATTCTTATTTCACATATCGTCTTACTTTCTTCTCTTTCGAAAACCATAACTTTCGTCTTACTTGCGTTCACTTCCGTACCCCTTTCTTTTAATGACCTGTTCATTAATGTAACCATCATTTGCAGTTCGGTCGCCGACGACGCAAGAATAACTTGATCATCGACCATCAAATCATGATAATAACAAGTATGTAAAGCATTGAAGTAATATATGTACTTACGTACTAGAACAGCTATCTCAAACAAAAAATGTGCGCTACTCTGTGTTCGCGTGGTTGTTTTTTTTATCATAGAATAAACACAGGTAGAATGACCCGTAGGTAATAGTGGATTGTATTATTAAATAGGTAAATTATATCGAGAACAATATTTAAATTTTGTCATTTATTTTGTACAAAAGGCATTTGACGGTTAACTCACCCATTCTTAATCCGCATTCTTCAACTTTCAAATTTTGCAAACAACTGTCCATAAATAGGTTGAACAGCCGCGGGGAAGCCACACAGCCCTGTCTGACACCTTCATGGATGCCGAACCAGTCCGAGTAGATTCCGTTGATCCTAACACAAGCACTAGAGAAGTCCCTATAAAGCGACTCCAATACCTGTATCAAGCCAGCGTTCAACCCAAATGAATTCAGTGTATGCCATAGCTCATCCCTATCCACTCTGTCATAGGCCTTTTCCAAGTCCATGAACGCACAAAAAACCTTTTGGTTTTTGGCCAAAAACTTTTCCGCGATCATTCGCATGGAAAAGACTTGATCTGTACATCCCATTCCCTTTCTAAATCCCGCTTGCACATCCCAAATTTTTTCATCATTTTATTTCATGACCCTTTCAATCAGTACCTAGCATTAGTACTTAGCATTAGTACTTAGCATTGTGGGAAAACTGTATGCTAACATACAGTTTTCCCACAATGCTAAGAAGGCTGATACCACGGTTGTTTTTACAGTCCTGCTGCGACCCTTTTCCTTTATATACTGGGACTATCACGGCTTCGCACCAGTCTACTGGTACCTTCTTCAGTTCCCAGCATAAATTAAACAAGGTGTGCAGCAGTCCTGCCACCACTTCCTCTCCAGCCCTTAGCAGAATGCGGTATCCATCGGGAAAACAACTTTTTTACACCTAATTGTTCATGCAAGATTATTTGTATTTGACTCATCACATGTCGATCTTCCTCAATCAGCTTACGCACAGCATCAACGTTTTCTTGGGTGACTGCAGTTTTTGGACGACCTTGACGTGGATCATCACTTAGCTTGACACGTCCACGTTGAAATTCAGCAAACCAGCGATAAATTGTGGTTTTTGATGGGGCTTCATCACCAAATGCAGAAATCACTGTTTTTGCGTTAAACCACTTCGAAAGTCGTAATAAATCATCGCTCTTGAATTTTCTAGAGTCAATCCCATTTTCTCAACGACTAAACAAGTTTGACAGAACCTTGTGACAAGACCGAGAATCTTTTTTTAAATAAATAAATGGTATTCGATTTTTAAAACCCAGGAGTTTTCAATTAAAATGATTTTAATATGACAGGAACAGTGGAAATATTCCATTCCCGATACTTTTAGTACAGCCCTCGTAATATTCGGTGTCGTTATTCGTGGTCGTGATGTTCAATCTTGGCAAATATCATTGAATTGGATCTTGAGGAATGAAAACTACACATTTCAGTGATAATTCAGATGATATGGAAACAGTGTTGTGGTCTCTCCACTTTTGCAACGGTCGGAACAATCAAAAAGTTGCAGTTACGGACTTTCAGGTAAGGGTCTAAGTATTTATACCCAAATAGTCGGTTTAATGGTCGTAAACGCGTCTCATCGTGAGGTTCTGGATTCGAATCTCGGGTGGAATCAAAAATCAGCTAATGAGTTAATTCTGTCAAGAAATTTTCAGTAGCAGCCCGGTAGCAGAAAGATGGCGGTGTTTCACCCTCGTGTCTCGGAAAGCAAGTAAAGCCGTTGGTCCTGCACCTAATCTCTCCCCTGTCGTGTCGGATTGCCGTTCCATCGGACTATGAGAGTGATGGTGAAGGAATAGAGAGTTCGCCTGTGCTAGCGCATACACTTGGGCATTATAATCTCGTCCAGTGCACATGGTTTGTCTCCGTTCAGACTGGCCGCCATGGCCGAAATTCTGTGTGGAGGACATTAACCTCTCACTTTAGAGTAATGTAAATGTTTACATTCGCAACAATTAACATCGTCATAATTACTAATGAGTATTAACACGGAAAAGGAAGCGGTAAACATTCATCGAAAGTGAACCGGTCTCGGTACACTTGGCTTGTGAAAATTGAAAACGCAACATGCGTTCATATGATGCCATTCAATAATACGCTGTAAAAACCTAACAAAAACAATATCAATAGTAAATGTAGTAGGCGCATAACTTTTTTAGTATATACTTATGCGTGATGTTAAATTCTTGATTCACATTAGAATGCGTAACGAAATCTTACCAATATTAAAATGTGTATGTATGTATGTTTAGATTTTGTAATTGAAAAGTTACAAGAGATTTTATGTAATATATGGTTTTACCACGCTGTAGCTATATTATAGTTCTAGCATGAATGGGTCGGCCCGACCAAGGTCCACGCTCTCACAGAATAGCAGCGTAATGCTGCTGTGCTTCGCATGATGAGTGTAGAGAACCGGAGACCCTTTTTACTGGAATCGAAGCATTCCATCTTAGTCCTCTGGGGTGACAACGAATTTGCATATTGATTCTTAAATGAGGATAAATTTGGATGTATATGGGCCACAGCATCCACTTACCATCAGGTGTACTGTGTGCTCGTTTGCCACCCAATGCTATTAAAAATAAAAACTTAGGTAAAATAATATACAAGAATAGAATGTTATTTAAATTAAAGGTGAGCTTACTTTCATGTGCTTAATTCAGGGGAATAGAAAATCAGCGTTAGGTTTCCAACCTGACACCACGCTGAATTGGTTCCTATCTTTCAGCACTACGCTAAGGCTAAGGCTAGTTTTTAAAATATACCTATATACGATTTATTTATCCTAATTTTAATTATCTTTGTTTTCTAATTTTTGGGATGGTTGTTTTTCTTAAAATAAAATTTTTGATTTCGTTTCTGAGTCTTGGTGCCTTATGTGTGTGTCGAAGTAAATATTTTTTCCTTACTTTTATGGACCAAGACTTTTGTATTTTGATTATTATACAAACCCAATTAAGTCAGATTTACACTATTTAAGCCAAACTCACTTTATGACATATACTCCTACGCGGGCCCCGTCTTTGCCCACGCAAACCCTAATATTTTAAATGAACTCCAAATAGTTCAGAACCTCTTCTGTCGTCGTGCTGCGAACGCACCTTGGTACGTCCGTAATGCCGACCTTCATCGGGACTTAGAGCTCCCAACAATTCACCAATTTTTTTAAAAAACTCTCTGAGAACTTCTTCGAAGCCTCAGTGTCGCACCCAAACCATTTAATTCGTGAGGCAGCTTCTTATGCAGCCCCCCCCCCCTCTCGCTATCGTGTCCGCAGGCCGAGCAACTCTCTCTCGGCCCCGCCGAATAAACTGTCAAACGCCCTGACCTGTCTCCTGGCGGCTCCGGCCCACTCTAATTAAATTAAGTTATTGTAATAACTAACATTAATTTGCCTTCGTAGGCACTCCCTCAGCGGCACTTAGCCGCCTGCGCCCTCTTTTCCCAAAAGAGGGTCGCTCATGATAAGGCACAATACAGCTTGATCAGCCGGCTGCCTGTCCCCAAAGGCGGTTTTTAGAGGGTATCACTTAGGGTCCCCGGTAGGACAGTGAGCCCCTCATAACCACGATAGACCGGCTATCGTGGTACGCGTAATGCATTTTCCGCCTCCCTACGTATAGGGTAGCCCTTTAATTGCTTCGGGCGCAAAAAAAAATGACATATACATATTTTATATATATATGAGCGATTGTCCGCCGCGCTGTCGGTGAACTTCACGTCTGACGAGCACGTGGTATATCAGCACTTAAAATTGCAATTAACAATTTCATTGGTTCCAGCGTGGATCGAACCCGTGTTATTCGCGTACTGTGAATTTGTAGCGAGCGCTTAGCCTCTGAGCTACTACAGCTTAAGTTATCAAAGAGGTTTTTTAATAAAAAATTTCTTTGAAAGTATTCTATATGTATATATCATCTTATATTAAAAAAGCGAGTAATTAACCCATTCTCTGTCATGTACTAAATATATTTAACTAGTATTATTTTACTCTTGTATTTGAAAATCGGACAGTGAAAGTGTTAATAAAGAAATAGAATATCACAGGATCACTCATTTACTCAATTCACTGCTTTCCACTAATACATGCGCACAACATTTCTGTATCTAAGGTACTAGGACTCTAAACTCAATAATTCCTGAGTCTCCACAAAACTTAAATTAATTAAATAAATAAAGCCTATTTTAATGTTATGGCAATTCCGTAGACGTCGATGACTTAGGGTTATCTGATCGTGTTTGAAAGCCAGTGAAACCAGTGTTGCCATGCATAGTGACTGTATGCTGTGGCGCATTGGTTACTTTTTCGTCTGATATAGCCGTATTTCTGACATAGTTTTTTCCTTTGCTTACAAAATAATGGTCATCGCTAAAAATCTGGATTGGATGATGAATATACACTGGAACTTCAACGGGCACTTTTACAGGCACTTTTACCGGATATAGAACTTTCTTTTCCACAGGGTAAGGCTTATGCACATACACAGGCACCCGTTTCTCAACTTCTACAGGGTAAGGAACTTTCTTCTCAACCGTTACGGGCACTTTTACGGGATATGGTTGAGGTACTAGAACTTTTACAGGCACAGGATAAGGGACTTTCTTTTCGAACGGCACAGGCCTGTCAACGGGCACTGTAACTCTGACCGGATATGGAACTTTCTTTTCCACAGGGTAAGGTTTATGCACATACACAGGTATTCTTTTCTCAACTTCTACAGGATAAGGAACTTTCTTTTCAACGGTTACGGGCACTTTTACGGGATATGGTTGAGGCACCTTAACAGGTACGTGTTTTATCACTTCAACTGGCTCTTTTACCTTTACTTGAACCGGATACGGTTGAGGTACTAGAACTTTTACAGGCACAGGATAAGGGACTTTCTTTTCAACCGGCACAGGCCTGTCAACAGGCACTGTAACTCTTACTGGATACGGAACTTTCTTTTCAACTGGTACTTTGACTTCTACTTGCTTCAAAACCGGTACATGATGAATTATCGGATAAGGTCTAGGAATGTACTCCTTTTCGACAACTTTCACAGGTATCGGATGTGGAATTTTGATCGGTACTGGATAAGGCTTGAGTACTTCAACCTTGTATGGTTTTTCCACGGTTTTTATAAATTTGTGATGATGGTGATGATGATGATGCTTTATTTTGGTGACGAATTTTGGCGGATAATTGCAGTCGTCCGTTTGCAGGTCCTCGACTATATACTTCGATGGCGAGTGCAGCCCTCTCGAACTGTAAGCAGAATATAGATACGGATTCATATGGCGTCTCTTCTTAAAGAAAATCGTCTTTTTCTTTTCCGTTCCCGTTGCTAAGCTTTGCGCAGAGGCAGTTACCGGAAACAGCCCATAAGAGTGAATGAACAGTGTTTGTTTTCTCGGCATGTGTGTTATTTTTGGATCCGGATAGAAAACGTCTGATCGTTTGCTAATTTTTGATTGAGACCGACGTTTGTGTTTTGGATAATGCAACGGTATAATGGGCATCCAGTCATCAGGTTTCAGTTTATCTAAGTTTATAGGTGGTGGTGTCAGTTTCTCTTTAGGTGCTTTTGTAAATCTGCGGTTACCTCGAGTTATCGGTTGGGCTGTGGTTGTTTTAGTCTCATTATTAGTATTATTTACAAATCTGACCCGAATATGTGTCCTTGCAGAAGCTTCACGGTCTGTTATATTGGTATTTGTGTTGGTTTCAGTTTTATTTAAGATCATCGACGTATATGGAGCAGTAGCATTAATTTTTTCTAAAATTCTTTTCGGCCATATACTTTTCGTCCTCAACACTCGTGTTGTAGTTGTAGGAGTAGTGGTAGTTGTTGTTATTGTTGTAAAATTAAATACCTTCGGTGGTCTCACAACATCTGAATGTATACCGTTAACTGTCTGAACAGGAAGACTAAATTTTGGACTTTTCGCTACGAATGATTTGCTTGTAGAAGCTGCAAACATAAGTGGAGTCCTAAATTGACTAGAGTAATAATGATGTCCATGTGGCAATGGGATTACACGAGGGAACTTTAAAACTGAATTTGCTGGAGGGTGTAACATATGAGGTGATGTGGGATATGGGTTTTGTGCTGGTAGTCTTGTTCTTTGACCGTAATATTGTTGAGGTATATTGAATGAGTTCCTTTGATTGTCAGAGGTAGTACGGATAGGTAGTTTGATGGGTGGCCTCTGATCAGGTTGGTGAGTGTTATTAGCATTCTGGGACCGTTTTGCTTGAGACTGGTTTACGTACTTTGGACCTTCCACAATAGTCACAGCTTTGTTTTGCCCCTCCTCGGCTAGTTGGTCCGTATGGTCTTGATTCTGTAATGTTGCGCCACCATCATTGACGACGATCGCTAACACAATGATCAGGAATGCCGTCTGGAACAAAAACGTTATCCAATTTTAACACCATCTTATGTTTTGGCTTGCGTTCAGTGCCGCGGAAATTTTTTCGTTTTTTACTTTCCGAATGTGCAATAATTTTACTATATTAACTTTTTTCCCTTCTATATTATAACACGAGTATATATTTGTTACGAGTATATTTTTATAACAATAGTAATAGTTTTACTTATATAAAACATTTTGCTAGTACATGGGCTACTCAAGTCTATAGAAAAATGCAACCAAATTTAAACAAAAAAGCTACAAATGCATTGTCACATCTCTTGAATCTTCAGATCTATAATAGGTGATAAATATTTGACTTCTAGACACAAAAGGACTTAGTTAATTCCTAAACTACATTATCATAATTGTTTTTTTATTGCATTAGGAAGTATACAAATTACCCAATTATTTTAGCAGCTATTTAATTACGACGAAGTGACAAATTACAATAATTAGGTTTTTAATTATTTCTTGTCTTGTTTTCACTATGTAGTATTTAATATGTCTGATAGGAAAACTTGTTATAAAATCAAAAGGAAAGTTTCTTATAGCTTAGAATATTTGGAATATGGATCTAACTCTTACATTTGAAAGTCAGTTGGAGTAAGTCCGTAAGAGTCAATAGCACCTACGAAGCTGCAGGCGAAAACACTAACTATTGACTACGTCATCGTCAATAGAGCTGACAACGCATCAGTAGTCTTCCTTATTTGAAGTTGGTTGCAGGTGGACAGTAAGTTGGTTTGCCACATCAGTTTTATAAAAAAATTATGTGCGAGTAATTTGCTATCGAAGTGAAACTTCTTTACGACATCATTCTTATTTTATTTTATATTTTACATAAATAGGTTAAAAGAAAACGTCTCCGTTTTTAATATGCCGTACTAAATTTTTCGACAACGTCGAAAAAGAAATTTTGTCTTCAAAAATTAATTAAATTGGTGCTCGAATTTTATTTAAACTGGAGAACTGTAATAATAATGTTTAATAATTTACATAAACATTTTGGTTAAAGTTATTGCATTGCATCAACAATAATGTTATTATTGTTGAATTTATATTTTTTTCCCTTTTTTGTAGCAAATAAATAGGAGACAATAAGACTAACAGAGTGTAATGAATAGTAAATTTAAATTGCTTAATAACGTATAGATTACGTAGTATAGTATCAATCATTCGATCGATTATTTAGTATCAATTATTTTTATATTTCTCAAGCCTCATTGATTAAGCTTAGGTCTTGATAACTCATATTACGAAACATGCCACTTTACGTTATTCACAATATATTGTGCCAAATTTAAGAGAAACACTGTCATCACAAAATATCACTGTATTATATTAATTTATATCACCTTTATAATCACTTTCACTTTATCACCTCACAGGTATTTGAAGTGTTGTTTCCCGCACATTTTTAATTTTTAATTTCCTAGTGCTGTACCTACCGATAAATGTTGCATAGTGTGGAGCAGCGCCCGAGCGCGGACATGTACGTAATGATGAGTCTAAGGAAGCGATACTCACTTAAATAGCGTACGAATAATTGGCGGTTAGATGTCGGGACACGGACTTTCTCTACCAGCAAAAATATTGCCATCAGTATTCGTTTCTCATCCATCATCGCGTCATCTCCTTACTATTGTTATTTTAACGTATTCATCACCCGTGGGTGCTGAGAGAGTGGATTAAGGAAAATGTCTAGATAATCTTACCGCTTCCGAGACTAAAATATCCAGATCGACGACGGAGAGTAGGGTTAAAAGTGCGAAAATTCTAAAAGTTCTACGACCGCCAATCTACCTAGCACGCGTGACTATTGCTGCAAATTCTCCCGGCAGGGGGGAAAACATTACTAATGGTTGGAGTGAGTGTTTACAATTAAGAGATATGAGATTATGTATATTTACGAGACTCGTTTCCCTAGACTACGTAGACTAAGCTCGTTTTATATTAAGTAGGGGTGACAAACAAAAACGCAGTGTACCTGATGTGGATGCTGTGGCCCATATCTGCCCGATTAAAATGTAAACTTTCCAATTTGATCATCACCAACATTTAACGGGAAGCAGGTCCTTTTGCGAATTGACCGTCAATCGTGGCAGCACAGCGCCAGCAACTTACGCTGTCACTTCGATTCCCAGGCCTATGTTCAGCAGTGGTATTACTTAGAAGTACCACTGCTGAACATGAGAGGTTTGCCTCAATTTTCGTGCGTGGTAGAGATCAAATCTAGGTATATTTCTGATCTCCCCCAGAAGAAATTCTCTTCTGCGGAAGGGAGGGGGAGCTAAATACCCGTAGTTGGGTCACCCAGACTGAAAAAGGAACATACTTCCTTGTCAGCGGTGATTGCTTCAAGTGAGCTTTGCGAGCCCACTCCAGATGAATGGAAGGTTACCTTCTCCCCCGACCCTTTGCAGTACATTTTTATAGAATATGGGTGACAAATGTGTACATAGTCCCGATGATGAGCGAATACTGTGGCCCATAGACATATCTACATTGACCCTTGATTATAAATCAAAATGCAGATGCGTTGCCACCCCTGAGGATTAAGATGGAATGCCTCATTTCCTGTAAAAAGGGTCTCCGGTTCTCTACACTCACCATAGGAAACACAATAGCATTAAGCTTAATTTTTATTACGGGGTATTTTGTGAGAGCGTGGTCCTATTACGCTCTCACAGAATACCACGATAGAGCCGACATATTTGTGCTACAACCATAATAATATAGTTGCAACGCAGCTCGACCGCGTATAAAAATTTCGATTTTTAGTTAACTAAAAGTTTTTAGTAAATCTTTAAAATTATAAAACTCCCTTTTTTGTACACATTAGATGATCGTGCTTTGAGGTGTCGGTGCAAGAGATCCCATTACCCTTTTTCGACGACTATGGGACACATGCCGGAAAAACCGCTGGCTTATGGCTTCCGATAGTATACTCTCGTGAACATCAGGAGTGTTATTTTGCGCCTTTTGTTGCTGGCAGGCCAGCGACGGGAGACAGCAACAAGGCTGCAAAACGACTGTTACTGCCATCGCCAATCCGCCAACGAAGTGAGACATTCAAATCCCTACAGAGGGAGATACCCATGTCCAGCAGTGTGAGTTTACGCGCTGATGATGATATACGATTATTTGACTATAAAAACGATAACGTCATTACACTACATATACTCTCTTGCAACTTTCTTTTTTGTGGCGGTTTATTAATATTCGACAATGACATTAGTTACTATAATGTGACATTACTTATATTAAATGAAAAATGGTTTAATAAAAATAAAAGTCTGCGATAGTACAAGTTTACTTTTCTGTCTAGAATTTTGGTAAATCTATCTGTTAAATTTAGTGTTTAGTTTTGCTTTATTAGTTTTAATGAAATTACATTTTATAATATACACAAAAGAGGTATTTATTTGCTTATGTTAAACACATTTAAAATCTATAGGCGAAGCGTAATAATACTTAATTTCCAGTAATTTAAAAAAAATGGCGGTAGTTGAACCGCCGCAATATATTATATGACAGTTACTCACGATCAATATTTGACACAGCCGGGATGGATGACATTTTCTGTTCAAGGGATGGAGGAAAGTTGTTTGGTTTGACAAATCAAAAAGTGTTTCAATAAAAAAACTGAATTCGCATTGCACTCGTGCTTCTGTGCCATAACCCTCTCAGCAATCAGGAAACAAAAGTGGGAGGTGTATAAGTTGTTACTTTACATGTTTAAAATGGTGAACTTTACTCATCGCTAGAAACACTTTTGTTATCCAACGTCCTTCCGCTTCCGTAGTTCCGCACAGTACATTTCATTAACAGAAGTAAGTACAGTTAATTACACAACCCTGTTTATTTTGCACGCAAATAAACGCATATATTATGTAGTATCATCGTTGTGGTATTTTAACTGAACGATACGATTTATACGTGGTAGAGCCATGCTGCAGTTATATTAGTAGATAGTATAGTGATAGCACGAATGGGTCGGTTCGACTGGGGAAGGACCAAGCTCTCATAGAATACCAGCGTAAAATAATAGCTTAATGCTGCTATGTTTCGTATGGTGAGTGTAGAAAACCGGAGAAACTTTTTACTGGTAACGAGGCATTCCATCTTAGTCCTCACGGGTGACAACGCATTTTGATTTGTAATCGAGGATAGATTTAGATGTCTATGGGCTGCACCAACCACTTACCATCAGGTGGACTGCGTGCTCGTTTGTCACCCCATCCTATAAAAAAGTATTATCCAATGGATTCACCATTAATGCAGCAATTGAGCTAAGGAGCAAGTGTTCCACAGCAATTAAAATTTATTGGTACTTATATACATCGTGTAATGGCGGTGTAAGAATATCCACCATTTCGTGTTTCCTTGTTCAAGCTGCGACGGTGTGCCGGCATGACATATTGTCCCACTGTGCTTAGCACGCCAAGGTTTTTAGAGGCCAATTTGACCTTCTCTTCCAGGCTACCACAAAACTACATCCTTCCATATGTCATCATTCATCATCATTACAGCCCTTCACAAGTCCACTGCTGAACATAGGCCTCCCCCAAGTAATGCCACAAAGCACGGTCCTGAGCCACTTGCATCCATCGACTTCCTGCATGTTTTACCAGGTCGTCACTCCATCTAGTGGGGGACGCCCTACACTTCGCCTACCGGTACGAGGCTGCCACTCGAGAACCTTTCTTCCCCATCGGTTATTGGTTCTTCGAGCTATATGGCCGGCCCATTGCCACTTCAGCGTTACTAATCCGTTGGGCTATGTCGGTCACTCTGGTTTTACTGCGGATATCCTCATTTCTGAGTCTTGATAGACTCAGAAATGAGGATATGCGTGATCGCAGAGAAACTCCGAGCATAGCCCTCTCCATAGCTCGCTTAGTGACCTTGAGCGTCCTCATACGGCTAGCAGTGAAGGACCACGTCTCAGATCCGTAAGTCATCACTGGCAACACGCACTGGTTGTACAATCTAGTTTTCAGAGATTGAGGTTCCATATGTAAACGACGAGAATTCCGATATTGGCTTAGGCAACAAGAGGAGTTCCTTGAAACTGAGGAGATACGACAAAAGGGGTTTTTTTTAGCAGTAAATGCGCAAACTTGTGTCTTCTGGGGATCAAATTGGACAAGATTTAATCGCCCCCAACTCTTTGTTCAGCAAAGACTCGACTTTAAGACACAAGTTTGTTTCGGTGCTCGGCGACGTTTTCCCGAGAAATATTGACATGGCCGGTGTATAGGGCATCACTAGTGCTTTCATCCGCATAGTAATGAATGTTAAATGGTTTGCAGCATATCATTGATATGCAGAAGAAACAGCGTTGGCGATAGATTACTCCGAATTAAGTATAGGTACTTCCTAAATGCACCGTTTCCTTTGTTGAACAGATATTTTTTGGCTCGAATGGTTCGGTGAATACTGAACGTCGCGCGTCGCTCGATCGATAAATGCTGAACGTGTTGACGAAAGCCCGCGCCGTGATTTTTACTAGACGTGTTTGCTCGATCGAGTAAAACCGTACGTGAGTACTGAGCATTAGAGGCGACAAAGGCCCTTTGTGTGCTTTGAAACAGGAGGTAGGATCTTTCTGATAACAAACCAAAGTTATAAAAAAACTGCGGTTTCAATCCAGTCTGTCAAGCGTGACATCTATGTCAAATATCCCCCTGTAAGGCAATCTACAGGGGAGGCTTATGTTCAACAGGGGGTTTTCGATAGGCTGTAATGATAATAGTAATAAGGATCATAATAGTGCAACAATTTAAAAATACTCAAATATTAAGGCAAGTTGAGGAAAATTGAGCCTGTACCTATTCATTAGGGGACCAATGTCGACAACACGTGTCTTCAAAGAAATGGTGCGAAGTACGCAACTTCGTCTGATATCTTGTTTCAGCACCTTTTCGTCCACAAAATCGACAGTAGATTCTATCACGTTGCCCGCCAGCTAGTATTATCGACTGTTGCCTATATCCTATATCTTGGTATCACTATTGACGCGAAGCTTCAATGGGGCCCCCATATATCTAAATTAGCAAGCAGACTCAGTTCTGCAGCATATGCTGTAAGAAAGATTGAAGTCTCACCAATGTTGAGACAGCTAGATTAGTTTATTTTAATAAAATACCTTCATAGCGTAATGACCCATAGAATCATTACTATGGGGTAATGCGAAACTGACAATATTATATTTTTTTTGCAAAAGAGAGCCGGGTACGGGCGATTTACAACTTAAATTGTAAAGAGTCCCTTAGAGAAAAATTTAAAGAAATAAACATATTAACTTTAGCATCACAACATATTTATGACAATGTAATGTATGCACATAAAAATATAAATAAATTTCATAAGAATAAATATAAATCAAAATCACTTTATTTTCAGACAACACAGATCCATAACGGTTAGTATTTCTAATAGTAAGGGGTTAGTAGTACTATAATTATAATTTAAATAATTTACGAATTCGGACATTGTCCGCACATAGCTCCTTAATATAGGTGCATGTGGATCATTTGCTACCGTCCTCAGGATGCTGTTGTCACTTCCCTGGCTTATCAGTGACGCCACTTTCTTGCGCATGAGTGCCTGAAAACCATCCGTTCTCGCCTGCGCAAACATTTCAGATGCACTGCATAAACGAGGAAGTTTCAACATCATCCTGAAGATATTATTATATTGGATGGGAAGGGTGTTTAACGATCCTTTGGTGTAGCTGATCCACAGACCGCTCGTGTACATGTTTTGACAAAATGCTTTAAAAAGCGTAATCTTGACTTCATCCGTACAACGAGCGAATCTACGGACCAGCATGTTACCACGGACCGTCAAAGCCCTACGCTCCCGTTCTATGTCTAAATCGTCCATAAGGTCGTCGGTAAGTATGTAGCCGGTACAAATGAAACTCTGTCGCTCCACTCCGAGGCAAATTGGAGGTATAAATTCGGGACACTTACCGGCGGCCTTAGAGACCATAAATTCGGTTTTTCTGACATTGTAGGCCAGACCATGCGACTTAGCATAGCTCTCACATACGTTCAACATTTCTCTGATAGCACTCGTAGTGGGGTCCAGCAGTACAATGTCGTCCTATCGTGTCGTGAATATGTTCATACTTTAAACACTAGGAACAAACATAAGTTTGTAATACCAGTTACTAGACTCAACAGAATTAGTAATTCATTTATGGGGCAATGTATACGCTTTTACAACAAAATCCCAGAATACCTAAACAAGTTTAAATGTTTTCTTAAAGAAAAATTATACAAAAAGGGTTATTATAATATAAATGAATACATAAATGAAAATAACCCCTGGGAATGAGGTGATCGCCACCATGCTGGTTCTATAAAAAAACATTAAAAAATTGTAAAATAAATTCTTTGTAAATTTAAATATGTTTTAAACAAAAGTCCTGCTGAGTTTCTTGCTGGTTCTTCCCAGGACAGAGATTTTTTTGCGAACCAGTGGTAAATTAAAAAATGACTTTCAATAAGTATTATTCAATAATCTATGTTGAATAAAATCATTAATTTCATTTCATAAATATGATAAAGAAGGTGCTACAGGATGGTTAAAAAGTCGTCTTTTCAGTGATCACAGCAAGACCTATGTTCTGTAGTGAACTTTGCCCCTCTGTATGTATAGTCTATTTCATTAAATTTCTGTCTCAGTCTCTCTCTGTTCTTTTGATTAATGTGGGAAGGTAAAGATTACTAAAAAATAGGTTTAATAGATTAAAAAAATTTCATTGTATTTCTTTCAATATTTTAAGCCTATATTTATCATCAGGGAATCTCATTTTTATTATTTGCCGGATTTCTTCACATACATAACTTTCTTTTAGTAGTTTATCCGAACTCCATAGATCTGTAATTTCAAGTAGCTGAGCTTTCAAAAGCTGCGGCATTTTCGTAAATTTAATCCATACATTTATTTTTGCTTCTAATTTGACTTCCTCTTCAAACAAAGTTGCAATATCAGCAGTAGCATCTTCAAACCGTATAGCCAACATGTAAACTAACTCCTCGCTTATTGGTTTGCTGTCTGCAAATATTCGATCCAACATGGCTTGGCACAAAGCTTGGATCAATGTACACATAGAATGTTCATACATGCGTATAGGGAGGATATTGAACCAGCTGGTTTTCAGATCCTTCATGAGAATTATGGAGCCATTTATTGCAGAGTCAAATGTTTGGTAAGAATCATAAGTCCATGGCAGTTCTGTAAAATGTTTTTAGTTAAATAATTAAAAAAAATAGATTAAGAGATGTTTTATATACCATTTTGTTTGTCATCATTTTTAAGTCCATTGATGCCCTTAGGATCTTTAAAAATGCATAAAAAGCATATATAAACAATATAATAAGTATATAAGGTATAATAACACAAAATATAATGTAGTTTTTGAAACAATAGTAACAGTGTATGAAGGCAACTATTACAATAGGCTGCGAGGCAGTCCATTTTAGTCCTCAGGGATAACAAAAGTGCAGGCTTCTTTGTTTGAAGTTGGCTGCAGGTGTCCATGGACTGCAGTAGCCACTTACCAGCAGGCAAGCTGTAAGTTTATTTGTCACTTCAGTTTTTATAAAATAAAATTATAAAAAAAAAAACTATTAAGTTATGGATCCTGGGCACAGATTAAATAATAGTACTTTATACAGAAGTTGCACTCTTTTCTATGTTCAGTTTTAATTGCCTTTTTATAATTATTAATAATTAGATAAATTATGCATGCAAGCTAAATTAAACCTTATAGCTGAATGTGAGTGTCTGTATGGCTTTACATGTACTTCCCTTCCTACCTCATGGGTGATATTTCGTGATTACCAAAGGCTTTTAACAGAGTAAAAAATACAGTATGTATATAGTACCCGTTGATTATTTACTTAATTTACAACTACTTTACTTGTTGTTAATTTAATGTCTTATATTTTATTCACCGTCCCTAAACTAACAGTTATTAAATTTAAAAGTGAAGTGAAAATTGAAAGGTAATTAAATACTGGAAGAGAAAACAATGACACAGAGAGATAAAATTAATATTTGTTAATAATTTTAGTAAATTATGTGCCAGTCTTAACATTATTATATTTTAAAAACTGTTCACATAAGTATTTTTATAATATACATATAAATTACTCTAAAACATAAACAACTATTTTATCCTATAACTAAATATGCTAAACAATATACAAAAATATTCATACAAGTATTTATAAAAAGCTATTTACGTAAACAGTGTTAAAAAAAACTTTCAAATTCACTAGTATGTTGCTTGCCTAAAACACTAGCCCTGACTGCGTATGCAACCTGAAGTTCCGTACATTGTAGGCATTTATTTCATGCAGGTAGCAAAAGTGTCAGAAGGCTGTCCTGGGTTTAAAACTAGCTAGGAAAACATAAGAAAATAAATATATAAATAAACACTCAAGTAGAGATGTCAATAGGTATGCTTTTATAGTCTCATTATCGAAATTCAGTTATTTAAAATCACATTTCTATAAATTGATAATGTTTCTTACCAGTATCTCCAATATTCTTAGTGATAATATTTTTCTGAGTCTGTAAATATAGTGACACTTTCTCCAAACCCACAACTCTTAAGTCCTGAATACATTCCAGAAGTATTGTTGTAAGTAAATCAGCTAGAGAAAATGGCAGAATATTTTTCCATGGTGGTCCAAGCAGGCTATGTGCCATATAATAACAGTTGTTGAAGAATAATGCTAAAATAATTACATTATTATTATATACATCTATCTAATAATGGTTTTATAAACACCTAATAATTAAATGAAAATTTAATAGATTTAAACAATTGTGAATTATCTTTCATAAAGTAATCCTTTTTCTTTTTATCAATTACTATTAAGGACTATACAAAATTATATATGCCATAATTTTAAGAACTTTAAACTACCAAATGCAGATTCAGAAAATCCATTCCTTATTCTATTTGATGAGAAACATATCAGTTTCCTATAGTAATAACATTGTAACAACAACAAATGCAGTAGCATCTTAGTGCTGGAGCAAAATAATTAAAATAAACAGGTATGACATGGAACAGTTTAAACTGTGAGGGATCTGGATCTAAAGGAAACATCCCATATTTAGGATATGTTAAATGCAACATTAATTATTATGAGTTTATTTTATATGACTTTAAATTCAGAACTCAATAACCAGGAATCTGTTAGCACAATCATTTAATTATTAAATAATACTTACCAATATCTAAAGGACAAAACTCCAAATTAACCTTAAATTTCTTAGGTATTATACATTGATACATTACAGCTATATCTCTAATATACATTATAAGCTGTCTGCTATACTGTTCTGGCAATTTTGTACTTTCTTCCAAATGTTCAATAATCATAGTAATAATTCTCTTAACATTTTGTGATATTACACATTTTGGAAGAAATATAGGGTTGTTAAGATCCCACAGATCATCCTTATTATTAGAAATATTAGTAGAATCTAATGTGGAATCAATTGGTTGCTCTGGTACGGACCCAACTATAATTGTACCATATGTCAAGCTTTCCCCGAGTATACCTCTAACATCAGCAAGTAGTTTGTCACATTTCTTGCTGTACAAAACACACTCTGTATCATTAATGTATTTTTTAAGAGGTGATTCACTTGCTTCCACAAATTTAAGGTCCACGAGAAACTTATTAAAGGATTCTAACTCAATAACTATGTTTTTGTAATTCTGATAGCTGCTATCACATGATGGTAAGTTGCTCCTAATACAGTCTTCAATTATTTTATTAAAAAACTTTTGTCTAATTGAATCAGCAAATACCTGTATGAAATTTTTATTATTTTCAAACTGCACTCCTAAAGTTGATAGCAGAAATTCAAAAACTGCAGTTAAATTATTGAATATTGTTTGGAGGTTTGGTTTTTTTGGATCATTTAAATCTATTTTAATATTAAACACTAAAGCTCCCAAATGCTCTTCAGTAAATATATCACAATTATGCCTTATAAGGTTATGTAGTAATTTCTCAATGAAAAATAGTGAAAACAGCCCCAGTTCTGCATTGAGTCTTTCTGTAGCATACAAAGATTTTAAAACATTTTGAATAAGCGTTGGATCACTTTGTTGGACAGACAATGAATATGTAAAATAATAAATGCTTTTTTCCTCTGCCCAAGAAAAGATATCCTCCCATTCTACATTAAGTTGAGCAGCACATAAGGCTAATTGGTTTTCTGCTTGATCAATCAATATTGTTAATGCCTTTCCAGCATTGCCTTCAAATTTAAGAACCATAAGTTGTTTTAGCAATTCTTTTATACTTAACACAGCATCAATATAATTATATCGACCAAATTCATGATTCGCTTTTTCTAATATTTGTTTACCTTCTACAACAATACATAAATTATTGAAAACTTTCATTGCATTTTCTAATTTCCTACAAGAATTACAGAACTCTTCGTTAATCGTTCGAGATTTTTCATTCACTATTTTTATATCTTCTAGTAGTTTATTATAATCCAAAAGAATGTTACTTTTGCGATTTTGATAATTAATTTGTTCTAAGCTTTTCGTAGGCATAAAATTACAATATGTATCAATAAAATTTTGTTGCAAAGCCCATGATAACAACTGTATACGTTCTATCAGATCTTTCAACTTCGGAAATATTTCTTCACGTTGCTTTTTCACATTTTCTTGGATATTTTGATCCGCTTCATGTATAACAGCACTTAACAAACTCATATTTTTTGCTTCTGATTGGGCATTGATTAGATTTTTATTTATATGGCCAGTTGAGTAATTTTAAAATTAATACAGTTACTAATACAGTTACAACAAAGTACGAATCCGAAATATTTTGAATTTTTGAATTTCAATTCAAATGAAAACGATCGACTGTCTGTGCTCTGGGTTTTTTTTATCAACTGGCTTTACAGCTCTGGGTTCTAGCCTTTCTGAGCCTGAAGTTACAATGTTATGCTCTGGGTCTGTCATCCCGACCATAGATAATCCTGAATAGCCCGTTTACGTAGCTTGCTACCTTAGAGCATACATTACATGCTCTAAGCTTGCTACATATTTATTTATCTATGGTTTACGCTCGCGTGATCGGTGAGGCGAGTCGCTAGGCGAGCCACGAGGTGCGAGTGAAAGCAAGCGCTAGCTAGTGACTCGCGGCACTCACGTCGCAGGTGGTTTTTTTAGACACAAAGGGCCTCGCGAGGGACGTGAGTGTGGTGTTTACTACACTCGCGCTCATTAATGCCACCTTGGTGACATTGTCACTAGATCTTGTGATTTTTAAGAGCTCTTAGCGATATTTTTTATCGCTTAGCGATATTTTTTTATCGCTTACCGACTTTTAGTTTTTAGCGATTTTGGCGATTTTTCCATTAGGAATTTGTTAGCACTTATTTGAGACGGAAATCGTTCTCTTTCTAGACTATGGTTGGAGAATCCCAGATGCTGTCATTTTATAGTTATTGACATTAATGTTTTATCTATGGAGTGTAGAAGTGAGGAATACAGACTGTGTATTAAAAATTGTCCATAGAAAACCGTTAAATAAGGGTGGCGTGACTATAACTACGGGGTAAATTTAAAGAACGCACCGAAAAATATTAGTGGGATAGACATTTTTGAGGTTATATTTACTAAATAAAATTATTTTAGATTTTAGAGCTACTGAGCAGTTTAGCAGCACACTTAAACCGTCGACAACTGCTAAGTTCATTTCATCCCATTAGCTACTCCAGCGCTGTTGTGGAGAGTTTTTGAACTGTTATTTACTGCTTACAGATGGCCACTTTTTCAAATATTCTACTATGGGAGTTGGTACTCCTTACTTCTACACTCCATAGTTTTATCATTCTTAAAAGTGTCGTAGTAGTCGATTAAGTGTAAAAATTTAATTACAAAAATTAAGTACAAAAATTAATGATTTATTTTTCAATGTATGCAAAAATATATGAAAAAATCTGTCATTGAAATATCCTACTTTTAATACTTTTAATTCTCAATAATTCTATTTTTTCACTTATGTAATACGTGTAAAGTACTTAATTTGAATTATAAAAATTGCAAGATCTGGTGTTTTTTTTCAATCCAAATTTCCAAAATATCTCGACATTTTACTCTGGATTTAGTGACAAGATAATTTTTGAGGTGGCAACTCTGCTCGATCTCTCGTTTTAGTTGGCTTGCAGAGCCAGTAACGAAAGACGTCGAAATAATAGCATCATTAACTCTTGCCTTAATAAGTATTTATCGATGCTTGACAATTTATAAAAGAATTTTTATGCATGATATGTTTTGGATCCGGAATTATTCGCTCAGACTGATAGAGTTCCAAGAACTGCAGCATTTCTTCTTGCGGCCAGTCCAATTTTAATGCAAATCGAACGTAAACCCAACAAAACAACACAACCTGCACGGAAGGGCGCCGTAAACCAAGCCAAAAAAGACTACAATATTAGATAGGGAAATAGACAGGGGTATGAAAGTCCTCAGTAACTTGCTTTTAAGTTGACACTAGCACCATCTTACAGTCGTAAAAAGCAATGTTTACTCTACTATTACTTATTTACCTAAAAGGATAAATAAGTAATAGTAGAGTAAACAGTGCTTTTTTTCTAGGACCACTGCTAACATTTATTATTTATACTGAAGCCGATATCACATATAAAATATACCGCATCATTTCATCACATGTCATGTCATAGTAATGTCGTGAAAACCGAAGAGAAAGTTTCGTATATGGCGTTTTAATTCATTTCTGACTGAACATTTCCTATTATGTCTTAAATTTTAAAATATAAAATATTATAAAATATACGAAATTATACCGAACCAAGTTGATAGCGCCCTCTAGTGTATTTTTCAGTAATTTATAATTTCAACGCCATCTATTAGAGCGAAGAAGAAACTTCCCTCGTTTCGTCACTAAATAGTTTGTATTCGAGTGGTTCATCTATGCCCTATATAGTATGTAGACAGAGAAACCTATAGACTATTGATTAGCGTGGCCTCTAGTGAGAGAGGACGATAACGTAGTTTTAGGTTATACAATAATCTTTACGACTTTTAAACATATTTAGATAATAATAATATAATAATAAAATCTTCATTCTCAGAAAAACGTGTAACAAAATTTTCCATATTCTGTATTCTGTACGATTACAGGCATCAATATACTAGTAACATACTAGTAGGATATGGTTGATCGTTAGCGGCTGTACTAGTTTTATATTGAAAACTATATTACAGACGCTATCGCCTTCCACCGGATATTATAGGAAACAATTAGAGCAATGCCCTGTTTAGTTTTACATAATATTGAATCCGCTACATATAGAGATAATTACTTAAGAACAAGTATAAAAGAGTATTAAAGGTATAGTGTGTGTGTGTGTGTGTGTGTGTGTGTGTGTGTGTGTGTGTGTGTGTGTGTGTGCGTGCGTGCGTGCGTGCGTGCTTGCGTGCGTGCGTGCGTGCGTGCGTGCGTGCGTGCGTGCGTGCGTGCGTGCGTGCGTGCGTGCGTGCGTGCGTGCGTGCGTGCGTGCGTGCGTGCGTGCGTGCGTGCGTGCGTGCGTGCGTGCGTGCGTGCGTGCGTGCGTGCGTGCGTGCGTGCGTGCGTGCGTGCGTGCGTGCGTGCGTGCGTGCGTGCGTGCGTGCGTGCGTGCGTGCGTGCGTGCGTGCGTGCGTGCGTGCGTGCGTGCGTGCGTGCGTGCGTGCGTGCGTGCGTGCGTGCGTGCGTTCGTGCGTGCGTGCGTGCGTGCGTGCGTGCGTGCGTGCGTGCGTGCGTGCGTGCGTGCGTGCGTGCGTGCGTGCGTGCGTGCGTGCGTGCGTGCGTGCGTGCGTGCGTGCGTGCGTGCGGGCGTGCGTGCGTGCGTGCGTGCGTGCGTGCGTGCGTGCGTGCGTGCGTGCGTGCGTGCGTGCGTGTGTGTGTGTGTGTGTGTAAGTGTGTGTCTGTGTGAGTATTAATGTGTACATAATAAACCCTGCCCTATTTTAAACATCTTGGGATTGGTTGTGTCAAAGACAGCAGTCCTCACTAATTGTGGTGGTTTAGTTAGCTCTATAGGGGGATCGCAAAAGCGCCTCTGTATCCTCGTATGAAAGTCTCTGCAGCCACTGCTTCAGTTCCTGTTTACACTTTCTTGCAGTAGTTTTATGGATATTTAGTTCTTTATTAATCCTATTGTAAACATGACTACTTCGGACATAGTATTGCCTGCGAGCTAAAGCGGTTCTGTGGAGCAGGTGTTCACGTACCCGGTATTCCAGTCTTCGACTTACTTTTTGTGAGCGGTGCTCCAGTGGGAGCGAGCGATGTCTACGAAGTACCATTTGAAGTATGTAGAGTTGCCTGGCTGTGAGCACCTCACAGTCTTTATATAGTTGGGTAGTAGGGTAACGGTAATGTTTTTTAGTCATGACCTTTAACACAGCTCTCTGTGCACGCTCCAATTTTATAAAATGAGTGGGGCACGCCCCACCCCAGGAAGGGATGCAATAACTCAGAATAGACTGGGCCAGCGCAAAATAAACCAAATTCAAGGCTTTTGGGTCCGCCGCATTCCTCATTTTTTTAAAAACTGGAATAATTTTTCGAACCCGGGATGCTATGTTATCTATTTGAGGTGTCCAAGTAAGGGTACTGTCGAGTTTAATTCCCAGATATTTTATGTATCTGTCTGTTCTATTGCCATGCATCCACAGTTTGCATTTTTCGAGTCACAGTGGTGAATTTTGATGTAGGAGGGATCAGGTTTAGGTTATGTTGACTTTGATGCAGAAAAGGTAATATACTTGGTCTTGTCAATATTTAAGGTCAGCAGATTGTCACAGAGCCAGTTTGATACAACACGCAGGGCCTCTTCCATTCTGCATCGAGCACTCTCCCAGGTTTTGTCGTGTGCCAAGAGAATAGTGTCATCTGCGTACGTGATGATGCGGTAATTCGGAATAGTCAAGCAACAGAGACTGTTTATGTATACCAGAAAGAGTGTCGGCCCTAGCACACTGCCTTGAGGGACTCCATAGGAATGATATTTATCATCACTAAGAAAATAATCTATTTTGACACATTGTCTGCGTTCTGAGAGAGAGTCTCGAAAGTCCTATAGTGAGCCAGATTGATTCACCAACTTATAAGCTGGCACAACACTTGGCAAAAGTACTGTCACCACTGAGAGGACATACCAGAGCACACACAAAGGATTCATACCATTTTGTTAGTGAGATAAAAGACCTACATCTCGCTGACAATGAAACTATGGTCAGTTTTGATGTTCAGTCACTATTCACATGCCTACCTATTGAAGACTGCATATCAATTGTAACTAGGAAGCTAGAATATAATAACATGCCTGCTGAATATGCAGTATTACTCAAACACTGCCTCACATCTGGCTATCTATTGTGGAAGGAGGAGTTCTACAAGCAAGTAGATGGTGTGGCGATGGGCTCACCTGTATCTCCCATAGTCGCTGACATATTCATGGAGGACTTCGAGGAGAAAGCCCTTCTTACTGCTCCTGTAAATCCAAGATTCTACAAGCGGTACGTAGACGACACTTTCACAATTTTACCATCTGACAAAGTAACTGCATTTTTAAACCACCTTAACTCTATAAACTCTAAAATACAATTCACAATGGAGTTAGAGGCAAATAATTCTTTAGCTTTCTTAGATGTTTTAGTCATTCGAAATCCTAATAACACAATTGGTCACACTGTGTATAGGAAAAAGACCCATACCAACCGATATTTAAATGGTGAATCTAACCATCATTATTCACAGTTAGCTACCGTGGGTAAATCTTTGTTTCAGAGAGCACGAGGGATCTGTGACAGAAAACATCTGGCCGCCGAACTTCAGCATGTCAAGCAAGTATTGCAAGACAACAAGCTTCGGGTCCCGCGCCTACGTCACAGTGACCGAGTGAAGCCAGCCACAGTCGAGCGTGTACCTGCTGTACTACCATATGTCAGAGGAGTCACAGACAAGGTTGGCTACATCTTGAAGCGAGCTTCTATTAAAACATACTACAAGCCGCCGAAGAAGATTAGTCAATTTTTACCATCCATCAAGTGTAATATCCCTCTACAAGATGCAGGAGTGTACAAGTTAGATTGTGAATGTGGTCTCTCTTACATAGGTCAAACGAAAAGATCCATAAAAACCCGCGTGAAAGAACATATAGCTGACGTGAAGCACCGACGCTCAGGGAAGTCTGCAGTCTGCGAATATGTTCAAGATCGTCCACAAATTCTCGCAAAAGAACACCGATTCCTACCAAGGATGATACGCGAGGCTATTGAAATTAAAAAACATCCAAATTTCAATAGAGAAGATGGATGGGTGCTGCCACCTGCTTGGGATCCTATAATTAACAAAATTAAACCCAAACCTAAGCATACCACTGCAAGACTTCATGATACTATAAGCTCGTTTTGCGTAAATCGGACCAAAAATTAATATTCAAAAACTGAAGGTAGCCGGACTAACTATGACATTGGGACGTCAAACATCTCAGTCCCCCCCGTGACCATGGTTGCTGTAAAGCACCCGAAACGTCGGGAATTAAAAATAAGTAAAAGTAGTTAAATAAACGCGATAAAATCCGTAAATTTAGTTTTATTCAATTATTATTAAAATAACTGTGACGAAAGTCTGCGCAATAAAACATTATAAAAAGTTCTTGAAGAAATTTGCACTTTAGCTACAGTGACGCCACCCTTATTTAGCGCTATCCTACGGACACTTTTTTATACAGTCTGTACTCCTTACCTCTACACTCCATACATTTGTGAATATGGCTCAGCTCATCGTATAAATTAACTCGTATAGGTCCGTGTTTTGAAGGGTTCACAAACTAATAAGAATTGGAAGGGTTGTACTTTTGTCAGTGTCAAGTAATACTTTCATGATATTTTGTTCAAAAACTTTCCCATAATATTGCGGAGTTTTTAGAAAATTTCGACGACAGCTTAATCCAGCAAACAATGGAAGCTCTTTGGGTTAAAAATTTGAGCTCATATGTACCTATGATATACCGTTACGCTTAAATTCATTCACACTCATTAACACGGTATCACAATGAGTTTGAATGAAGATACTTAAAGTACGAGAGTAAGGGTGATAGTTAGCAAGGCTAATCTGGTCTCCCCCCACCCGATGGGTTCCTACCCTTGCGTCACGGGGGGACTAAGTAGCCATGGCTTGGTCACCCACGGTGAACTAAGAGATGGCTGGCCCGAGGATGCGCCATTCGCCCTGTCCTCCGCGACTCTGACGGCCGTCGCGTTAATGGATGCGGTAGTGGTGAGGCTATGGGGGGAGAGGAGTGTCGGTATTGCAAAGCGCCGCTCTCCCTACCCTGCCGAATCAAGGTTGGCGGCTGCAGCGTTGCCATTTACACTGCAATTGCCGTGTTACACGGCAATTTGGGTCTATTCAACAATAAAACACGGTACACGGCAGCATATTAATTGCCGTGTTCTAAAACACGGCAATCCAATGGTTACTAATTTTTTCGAAAATTATATCGGTAGTCGATAAGTCATTATAACGCACGTCACTAGACTACACTAGACGTAGTCATGACTCTATGAGTGGGGAAATCCCGATGCGAATTCAACATATGTACCTACATTCGCGAACACTTCATGGTTTATGGTATTCATTTCATTGTTTCGTTTTTTGAAAAGGTACATTAAAAAGATATACTGCTGTTTATTTACTTTATTTAACTTTACTAGCTAATCACTTTATCCGATCCCAAGGAAATTGTGTAAATTTCAAACCGACAAAACAAATGATAGACAATATGAAGGAAAATAATAAATATAAATTGAACAAAGACGAAGAAGAAATTTTTGATACGATAAGAAATTTGTATGATGACTGTGAAGAGTAATGTTTTTATGTTATGTTTAACCTTACCTATTAATTTAAAATAAATGAAAATGTACATGGAGATTTTCTAGTTTTTATTCCAAAACACGGCAATCCAGATCCCAAAACACGGCAACTTAAAATTTAGAAATGATAACCCTGGGCGGCGGAGACATAGATCAGATTCGCCGCTGGGGTCAGGAAAGCTAGTGCTTCTGAGTACTTGTTTTTCCTGGTCCCATGGCATTCACACTTCGGATACGGATAGTCTGTTGCGCATGTGAATTTGGAGGCCGCGCCATGTGTTCTGGTGCGCCTTACCTGGGTAGGAGATGGGGAGGAGTAGTCCTCTCCCGAGGATGTGGCGGCCAGCTTTGGTTGGGGCCGTGAATGTGTGCGAAAGCGTTTCCGTGGTCCTGCCAACATGCGACGAAGGTGGAGCACCGTGAGGTTTTAGTCGGTGCGAGTCCGACATAACCTGTCCTTGCACCTGCCAGGCGGGTATGCGTAGGTATTTCCTTTATAGATATTTTCAATTAAAATAAAAAAAGGCTAATCTGATCTATTTCATCTTTGTTGGCTTAAAATGGGTGAAAAGAAGAAGGGTTGGCTATAGACATCCGGTACTTGATTTTGATAATGTTTTTAGTCTAGGAGGCTTGTTAGGGTTAAGCTTGAACCTATTACACTGTTTTTAGATGTCGGAAATGCGTTTTGAATTAATTACGATAAAAACAAATTTCACTAAAAATTGTGTAATAACGAAACGCAAATATGTCAATTTGTTCTCGTATTATGATGTAGATGTCCAGTACTTGAGACTTTTTAAGTTTGTATTAAATTTAGGAGGATTGTCAGGGTTAAGCTCGAATCATTTACACTGTTTTTGGATTTCGGAAATGCCTTTTGAATTAATTACGATAAAAATAAATTTCACTAAAAATAGCAATAACGAAACGCAAATATGTCCATTTGCTTTTTTAACACAGATACACTCATAAAAAAGTTAATCACTCGGACCCAGACAATCAATTTGTGTCAAGAGGTTTTTCAGAAAACAAAATTATAACAATTCACATTACATTATTTCATTTACCGCTATCATAGCAGAGTTTAGGGCAACTTTATAGATAAGATTGGTCGAATCGGTTCTAAAACCGAATTAGCACACCCCGACTCCACGTAGTCTCGTCTGCCCTACCCCTAGAGTGTTTTTGTAAAGCTGTAGGCACGGAGGGAGAGCAGCCCCCGCCCGCTGTAGCAAATCGCAGGCACCTAAGTGAGCCGCAGCGGTTGAGGCTGGTCGACGTCGCTGGTCGGTGAGGCGAGCATAGGTGCCTGTGATTTGCTACGCAAAGGCGAAGGAGCTGCACTTCCCGCAGTGCCGAAGCCGTTGCAGAAGTAACTATGTGTCAATATTCATGTATAAAAAAGTGAGGTTATGATTTTACAAAAAAAATTATTACTCATAAACTATACATTTCCGCAACGGGGCAAGGGTAGGGGGACAGACTAAATAGTCTACAAAGGACTGCCTGCCTAATGGCAACTGGAGCTATGCGATCATCGCCTGGAGCGGCTCTTAATGCACTTCTATGCCTAACGCCCCTAGATCTCTATCTAGACAAGGAGGCGAGGGCTAGTTTGTATAGGATAACGCCCAGGGCGGTCTGAGCTTGCTCTCCTACAGATTGAGATCCATGCTCGACTCAATTAAGGAGTCACCTGTCTTATGCATGATCTCAGATATCATGCGTCCACTATACACTTTTGATAAAAAGTATATAGTGGAATTACCCTCCAGAGAAGACTGGCTGAATGGCCAGGTTATCTGTGAGGTCGGTAGCCTCATATGGTATACCGATGGGTCTAAAATGGTCCTCGACGTAGGCTTTGCAATTTACGGGGGAACGCCCCAAATTCAAATTTAGTATGAATTTGGGTAGATACACCTCTATCTTCCAGGCAGAAATTTTCGCCATACTTCGGTGTGCGGAAATCAATCTGCAAAAACACTACGTCAACCATAAAATTTACATAAACTCTGATAGTCAAGCAGCACTGCTGGCGCTGAGATCAAACTTAGTGAACTCAAAGCTAGTTGGAGACTGCGTGAACCGTTTAAACGCCTTGGGTTGTAAACAACAGGGTCGTTTTAAGATGGGTTCCGGGTCACGAGGGCATTGTAGGCAACGAATTTGCCGACAAACTCGCACGGGAGGGCTCAAAGTGCACACAATTTGGACCCGAGCCATTTTGTGGAATCTCAAGAAGCCTAGCCCGATTGACCCTTGAAACTCTTTATCACAATAAATCACTTAAGATCTGGTCTGACACACCAGGATTAAAACATTCTAAAACCTTAATCCGGGCTTTTGATCGTAAATTCGCTTCAGAAGCCCTGGGATTAAGTAAAAATAAATTGTGCATTCTGGCAAGAGCCCTAACTGGACACTGTTGTCTTAAAAAGCACATGTCCATCCTGGGACTAAGCAACTCAAAGATGTGTCGGTTCTGTTCCATAACGGAAGAAACACCTCTACACATCCTAACCGATTGCGGACCCTTAATGCGCAAACGTAACACTCATCTGGGACACTATCTACTCCGCCCAGAAGAAGTGAAATTGCTCACGGCTAAGCAATTCCTTCAATTCATTGAAGACATAGGGCTTAGCAGTGAACTATAGCCATAGCAGCGATCACAATAGATCTTCTAGGTCGCAGTGATACTGGTCTCTTTACCTAGACCTGCATAGCTGCTCGCACATAAATAAAAAAAAAGGGTAGGGGGAGGCTTCTCATGACCCCCTCCCCTCCCCCACTCCCTCCCAACAGCGTACGCAAGTACCGGACGTCTATAGTTTAACCTAGAAGAATTCGTATTTGGGGAATAAGACATTTAGAGGGTCGCGTATATGAGATACATATCTACCTGGTTAATGCTAAATGCTAAATATGAGAAGAGAAAATTTCGTTTTATGAAATGAGCGAAATGACGGCAAAGACTTAGGTTAATAACGAGAAATACAAACCCGTAGTGGAACTA